CAAATGTTTGAGTCCGATGCACACTGGAGTGGAGCAGCACTGCAAAGAGAGAGAGAGAGAGATCAATGACGATTAAGGGAGGTCAAATACCCTTTTTCTCGTAAGTGGCAGCCGAGGACACGACTGCATCTGTCAGTCTTCTTCAGAGAAGATGAAACTGGTCTGAAACATTTCACTTCCCTCTCTTAGCTCAGTAACCGTTCAACAGACAGGCACCACTGCTTAACCGTGACAACAGACACGTTTCACTACTTAAAACAAGACGTTATGAGCTACTTGTTTTAGACTTTAGATGCAGTGAAGTTTGGTTGCAAAATACAAATTCAGAATTTTGCTGTAATTCTGTGATAAGTCTTTGTATATGTTGTATCCACTTTCAAATTGTTCTCATTAAAAACATTTTTAATCCTTGAGAAAGGGCAAACACAAGCAACACAAAAAAGTTGGCAAAATACTTTTTCAGGTTTTAAAGAATAGTTTAAATGTTGTTTGAATTGTGTATATGAAAAACTGAAACTTGTGGAAAAATAATTGTTAAAGCTACTGAAATACTTTTCAGAAAACTTTTAAAATACTTGAAAGACTCATCATCAGATCAGCTCATTGAGTGATTGAAATCCATCATTTCCATAAAGAGCCACTTTGCATGAGCAGCAGCATGCTCCAGTGCTCGGGGAGAGTTTAAAGTCCTGAGAGTTGAACACTGCAGGACTGACAGCTGTCCTTCATCACAACAGGAGACACAGAAATCCTCCTCCTCCTCATCCAAAAACATGACTTTGATCTGCGTCCTCATCTGGACTCTCCTCCTCTGCTGCTGCTTCACAGGTAAAGTCCAGACAATCAAACTCCTCTCCTCTATGAACATCCGTCTCTCTGAAATGAAGCCCACACAACCCTGATGCTGCTTCATGTGTTTGTCTCTGTCTCCTCAGAGTCCAGAGGACAGGTCTCAGTGACTCAGCCTGCAGCAGTGATATCTGCTCTGGGAGCCTCCGTCACTGTCTCATGTAGGACCAGTGAGGATGTAGCTACTACGAACGACGACGAACCCTTGTTAGCCTGGTACCAACAGAAAGATGGAGGAACTCCTAAACTGCTGATTTACTATGGTAGCAATCGAGTATCGGGGACTTCAAGTCGTTTTACAGGCAGTGGATCAAACTCTGACTTCACTCTGACCATCAGTGGAGTCCAGACTGAAGACGCAGCAGTTTACTACTGTCAGAGTTATCATATATCAACAGTCAGTTGTGTTCACACAGTGAAAAAGCGTCGTACAAAAACCTCCCTCAGTCAGCCTGAACAGAAACCAGACTGACTGCTGCAGCAGGAAGCTTCTGCAGAGACTGACACACTTCACTGAGGACACCCACTCAAACACTACACTGACTGGTTTCCATCACCTCTTCCCTGTAATACAAAAACTACACAATCAGTTATTCAATATCATATATTTCCACTATACAGTACTTAGCATTTCAAAATGAACCCTTGGCATATGTCAGATATTTATGAAAAGATTTTTAGTGTTGTCCTCGTTCTCTTCTCAAAGGTGACTTCAAGAGAGTGTGGGGTAAAGCCGATCACAGAGCCAGCCTCTTTGATCAGGTTACTGATCTTATTTGTATCATCCAAACAGAAGCTGCCCCCCCCCCCAGCACAGAACAGAATAAAAGAGGACACTAGCCAAGATACAAAACATACAGAAGGTTCTTGCTAATGTCAGAGGATCTAAGCTTCCTTAAGAGACTTGACTGAGCCTTCTTTAAAGACACATCAGTGTCCATTTTCCAATTTAATTTACTGTCCATGAAGACATCGAAATTTTTATGAAACTGGACAGTTTGGATCTGCTATGAGGGGAAACATCGTCTTTCTTTCTTCTAAAATCAATAATACTTTCCAACATTCAATATGCATCACACTAGCTGACTAAAAATTCAATCTCTGTTTGGTGTTGGTCAGATTGTTGCCTTGGGTAAGTAGGTGCACGAGTGCAGTAACATCTGAAAACTTGTGGACATGATGTCTGTGCACACTAACACAATCAGGACCTGGAGAGATGTCAGTGGGGCTGCTACACACTGCGACACAGGGAGCACAACAGAGCTGTTGGGGGTTCAGTGTCTTGCTCTAGGACACCTCTATAACACTCGGAGAGTGACCTGGGACCTGGCAGCTTCCATACTTTGATGTGTACAGGGACTTAAACCAGCGACTCTCAGGTTCCCAAACAAGGTCCCTACAGACTGAGCTACTGTCGCCACAAATATATAAAATACAGCGCCTGCTCTATCAACTGAGCTAAACTGGTGCCCTGCAGAGGAAAGGTTAGTCTGGTTCCAAACTTGTTTCCATAAGAGTCCTACTAATTATATCCAAGAAAAGCAGAGCACCCAAAGCACCCACAGGTAAAAGAAGGAGTTTACTACTGTCAATAATTAAAAAACATTTGAATTGTTTTCATTGATAAATATCTCTTTTTATGAGTTAAGTATTAAATCATTTTCTTTTGACATCCCAACAGAATATGCAGAACAGTCTTAACCCTAACCCTACCAAAAAGCCTTTGAATAAACTTTCCACAATGTGTGTTCTCATGATTTTAATTTATGTATTTAAATCTAATTTTGACAACCACAGAGCAGGCATTGAACAAAATGCCAGAAGCAATGTTTTATCACTTTATGCTGATGATATCATCCGTTTTATTTGTAACACATTTCTTACCCACCTTCATTATTTTCAGAGATTTAACAATTCAACACATCAGTCATCAGATTGAGACATTTCACCATCTTCAACAGCAGATTTTGATGATATAAGATTATTTGGAAGTTTTCCATTGCTATTTTTTTTTTATTCTTTAGATGAACTTACCAAAGTCCGTTCAAAAAGGTTAGGGTTAGGGGGTAACTGTTAAGAAATGAAAGATATGCACAACAAACACTGTTTGATTCCATTTTTATTCTTTTGCTCATTTTAAGAAAAACTGTCAATAAAAAAGGCGAGAAAAGTTAACGTTGAAACATAAAATCATAGAGAGGGAAAGAAGGCATTTAGCGTGTAAACTGAGTGCAGTTTCAGAAATGAAACAACATCAGGGGGAAACCAGCAGCAGAGTCCAGGTGATACAGCTCAGTCCTGGGAACACTGGTCCCTCCTCAGTGTCTCTGAGACCAGCGTCTGGGAGCCCTGGGTGGCCTCACAGGTCACAGAGCCCACCTTCGTCCACTGGCCTGCAGAGAGCCTCAGGGTGCTGCTCCAGCTGTAACGAGCGTCCTGCTCCATCACCGCAGGGCCCCTGCTCTCCTCCCAGCTGCCGCCGCTGATGCCGTCCACCTTCCAGGCCAGACTCCAGTCTGAGGGGAAGCCCTTGTTGGCCAGGCACACGAGCGTGGCCTTCCCCTGCTGCAGCTCCTCATTGGAAGGGGGCAGAACCATCAAGGTGGGACGGGCTTCACCTAGGAGACACCAATCAGAACAGAGGACAGGAACCACACAGCTGTCAGTCAAACACATCACTCCTGGACACCTTTGCAGTTGAAAGCAGAGTTTCTCCTTCAAGGAGTTTCTGTCAGATGTTTTTTTCTGCTTCAGCAGTCACTCACACATTGTTTCACTTCCCTCTCAGAAATCTGTCATGCAAATCAACACAGAGACGATCATCGTACAGAGAGACCAGAATACACTGGACTTAAAATAAAAACGCTGAAAAATCATCAAATCACTCAAACCTTTGAAATACCTATTTGTCTAACTGTTGAGTGCAAACATGAACCAAATCTATCAATAAAACATGTTTTAAATCATAAAAGGCCAAAAAAAAATCTTAAGTGACATAATCTGCAGAAAGAGATCAGAGACTTTTAACATTTTCTTTCAAAATTCTTACAACTTCCCTTTGAGCAATTTATTCAAAATGACAAAATGAAAAAAGGGCCTTTAAGAGTTATCGTTGATGTGGAATAGATATCTGAAACCAGAGAATTATTTTTTATGAATCTGAAGCTGCTGAACTGAATGTAAATGATCTGTCCTGAGATGGTACAGGAGGACAAACACAAACAGGAAAAAAATATAATGTAAAAATGTATAAATGTTTCTTTATATTGTAAATGAAAAAAAAAAAAAAATCACGATTACAATACACTGTTGAGAATTAAACAGAAACTTACCTCCGACATCCAGTCTGGTTCCTCCACCAAATGTGTACCACAGTGATACAAAGTCACTGAGTCGCCGTACAAAAACCTCTCACTGCACAGAGACACGGCTCTCTGACTTCAACACATCGTACTCAAACTACCAGCCCTCAAGATGCAACTTCACCTTTACAATGATAACACTCATTTACTCTGGAACAAATGATGACTCTGGCTTCAGATTTGACATTTATTTTGATACGATTTTGTGTTTCATTAAAAATTTGTTTTTAGTCTAAATACAGAGAAAAACATGCACACAAATGTTTGGGTCAGTCATTTTCAGTCTTCCATTTCAAAATAAAATAATCTCTTGACATACAAAGGGTTAATATTTGACTTACTTCCAACATCCAGTCTGGTTCCTCCACCAAATGTGTACCACAGTGATGCAAACTCACTGAGTCGCCGTACAAAAACCTCTCACTAAAGAAAGTAAAAAAAAATGCTCTTGTCTGCAAAACCTTCAAATGAACTGAAAAGTATAAAGAATACATTTCCATTAATATTCAAAATTAAGACATTTTATTCCGGGGATTTCTCCAGAAGCATGAAGACGGTTTTAAAAACATGTCTTATTGAAACTTAAAAAAATTAACTTTATAATTAGTATAATCCAAGTCCCCAGTTAGTCAGAGCATTTCCATAAAGAGCCACTTTGCATGAGCAGCAGCATGCTCCAGTGCTCGGGGAGAGTTTAAAGTCCTGAGAGTTGAACACTGCAGGACTGACAGCTGTCCTTCATCACAACAGGAGACACAGAAATCCTCCTCCTCCTCCTCATCCAAAAACATGACTTTGATCTGCGTCCTCATCTGGACTCTCCTCCTCTGCTGCTGCTTCACAGGTAAAGTCCAGACAATCAAACTCCTCTCCTCTATGAACATCCGTCTCTCTGAAATGAAGCCCACACAACCCTGATGCTGCTTCATGTGTTTGTCTCTGTCTCCTCAGAGTCCAGAGGACAGGTCACAGTGACTCAGTCTGCAGCAGTGAGATCTGCTCTGGGAGCCTCTGTCACTGTCTCATGTAGGACCAGTGAGGATGTAGATACTACGGACGACGATGAACCCTTTTTAGCCTGGTACCAACAGAAAGATGGAGGAACTCCTAAACTGCTGATTTACTTGGGTAGCACTCGAGTATCGGGGACTTCAAGTCGTTTTACAGGCAGTGGATCAAACTCTGACTTCACTCTGACCATCAGTGGAGTCCAGACTGAAGACGCAGCAGTTTACTACTGTCAGAGTGTACATATCATCAACAGTGAGTTGGTGTTCACACAGTGAAAAAGCGTCGTACAAAAACCTCCCTCAGTCAGCCTGAACAGAAACCAGACTGACTGCTGCAGCAGGAAGCTTCTGCAGAGACTGACACACTTCACTGAGGACACACACTCAAACACTACACTGACTGGTTTCCATCACCTCTTCCCTGTAATACAAAAACTACACAATCAGTTATTCAATATCATATATTTCCACTATACAGTACTTAGCATTTCAAAATGAACCCTTGGCATATGTCAGATATTTATGAAAAGATTTTTAGTGTTGTCCTCGTTCTCTTCTCAAAGGTGACTTCCAGAGAGTGTGGGGTAAAGCCGATCACAGAGCCAGCCTCTTTGATCAGGTTATTGATCCTATTTGTATCATCCAAACAGAAGCTGCCACCCCCCACCAGCACAGAACAGAATAAAAGAGGACACTAGCCAAGATACAAAACGTACAGAAGGTTCTTGCTAATGTCAGAGGATCTAACCTTCCTTAAGAGTCTTGACTGAGCCTTCTTTAAAGCCACTTCAGTGTCCTTTTTCCAATTTGATGAACTGTATGATGTACTTTATGAAACGGGACAGTTTGGATCTGCTATGAGGGGAAACATCGTCTTTCTTTCTTCTAAAATCAATAATATGTTCCTTTGTCTTTCCAACATTCAATATGCATCACACCAGCTGACAAAAGATTCAATCTCTGTTTTTGTTGGTCAGATTATTACCTTGGGTAAGTAGGTGCACGAGAGCAGTAACATCTGAAAACTTGTGAACATGATGTCTGTGCACACTAACACAATCAGGACCTGGAGAGATGTCAGTGGGGCTGCTACACACTGCAACACAGGGAGCACAACAGAGCTGTTGGGGGGTTCAGTGTCTTGCTCTAGGACACCTCTATAGCACTCGGAGAGTGACCTGGGACCTGGCAGCTTCCATACTTTGATGTGTACAGGGACTTAAACCAGCGACCCTCAGGTTCCCAAACAAGGTCCCTACAGACTGAGCTACTGTCGCCACAAATATATAAAATACAGCGCCTGCTCTATCAACTGAGCTAAACTGGTGCCTGCAGAGGAAAGGTTAGTCTGGTTCCAAACTTGTTTCCATTAGAGTCCTACTAATTATATCCAAGAAAAGCAGAGCACCCAAAGCACCCACAGGTAAAGAAGGAGTTTACTACTGTCAATAATTAAAAAACATTTGAATTGTTTTAATTGATAAATATCTTTTTATGAGTTAAGTATTAAATCGTTTTCTTTTGACATCCCAACAGAATATGCAGAACAGTCTTAACCCTAACCCTACCCAAAAAGCCTTTGAATAAACTTTCCACAATGTGTGTTCTCATGATTTTAATTTATGTATTTAAATCTAATTTTGACAACCACAGAGCAGGCATTGAACAAAATGCCAGAAGCAATGTTTTATCACTTTATGCTGATGATATCATCCGTTTTATTTGTAACACATTTCTTACCCACCTTCATTATTTTCAGAGATTTAACAATTCAACACATCAGTCATCAGATTGAGACCTTTCAACTTCTTCAACAGCAGATTTTGATGATATAAGATTATTTGGAAGTCTTCCATTGCTATTTTGTTTTTTTATTCTTTAGATGAACTTACCAAAGTCCGTTCAAAAATTGTTAACCTGTTAAGAAATGAAAGATATGCACAACGAACTCTGTTGGATTCCATTTTTATTCTTTTGCTCATTTTAAGAAAAACTGTCAATACAAAAGGCAAGAAAAGTTAACGTTGAAACATAAAATCGTAGAGAGGGAAAGAAGGTATTTAGCGTGTAAACTGAGGGCAGTTTCAGAAGTGAAACAACGGCAGGGGGAAACCAGCAGCAGAGTCCAGGTGATACAGCTCAGTCCTGGGAACACTGGTCCCCTCCTCAGTGTCTCTGAGACCAGCGTCTGGGAGCCCTGGGTGGCCTCACAGGTCACAGAGCCCACCTTCGTCCACTGGCCTGCAGAGAGCCTCAGGGTGCTGCTCCAGCTGTAACGAGCGTCCTGCTCCATCACCGCAGGGCCCCTGCTCTCCTCCCAGCTGCCGCCGCTGATGCCGTCCACCTTCCAGGCCAGACTCCAGTCTGAGGGGAAGCCCTTGTTGGCCAGGCACACGAGCGTGGCCTTCCCCTGCTGCAGCTCCTCATTGGAAGGGGGCAGAACCATCAAGGTGGGACGGGCTTCACCTAGGAGACACCAATCAGAACAGAGGACAGGAACCACACAGCTGTCAGTCAAACACATCACTCCTGGACACCTTTGCAGTTGAAAGCAGAGTTTCTCCTTTAAGGAGTTTCTGTCAGATGTTTTTTTCTGCTTCAGCAGTCACTCACACATTGTTTCACTTCCCTCTCAGAAATCTGTCATGCAAATCAACACAGAGACGATCATCGTACGGAGAGACCAGAATACACTGGACTTAAAATAAAAACGCTGAAAAATCATCAAATCACTCAAACCTTTGAAATACCTGTTTTTCTAACTGTTGAGTGGAAACATGAACCAAATCTATCAATAAAACATGTTTTAAATCATAAAAGGCTAAAAAATCTTAAGTGACATAATCTGCAGAAAGAGATCAGAGATTTTGAACATTTTCATTCAAAATTCTTACAACTTCCCTTTGAGCAATTTATTCAAAATGACAAAATGAAATAAGGGCCTTTAAGAGTTATCGTTGATGTGGAATAGATATCTGAAACCAGAGAATTATTTTTATGAATCTGAAGCTGCTGAACTGAATGTAAACGATTGTCCTGAGATGGTACAGGAGGACAAACACAAACAGGTAAAAAATATAATGTAAAAATGTATAAATGTTTCTTTATATTGTAATGAAAAAAAAAAATCACGATTAACATTACACTGTTTAGAAA